CATCTTGGATTCCCTGACAGGAGATCTGTCCCTCCCTTAGCCCACAGGAAGCATCATTAGTGCCTGAAAGGAGAAATATGCCTGAGGACAGGCAGAGACAAAATGGGGATACAGGACTACCATCTCCAGCCCTGGAAACTGCTCTAGAACTTGGCCAAAGGTCAAATAAGACTGGCTCTTTAGCAGCACCACACTCTGGGAGGTATGTTTCACAGGTCTAATGGCCACAATCCTTGGCCAGCCTATCCCAGTGCTGGGATAGCCACATTGGGATTTCCTGCACTTGTGAAGAGCAGCATTCCAAACACTTACTATAGCTGAGACAAACCTGGGCTTAAAGTGCCATCTAGAACTGAAAAGGAGGCAGTTGCCTGGCAGTAAAGAATCTCTAAGAAAATATGTCCAATAAAAAACAAAAAAAGCCAGAGAGTGAAGCCAAAAATAAATAAAATAATAATAAATAAATAAGACCAAATTAATCTTGCAATGAAAAGACACAGACATACATCCACAAGTAACAACAACAAACGGAACCATGAGTTCCCCAAGCAGACAAAGCAAGGATCCAGCAACTGACCCTAATGAAACAGCACTAGGTGAGCTCTTCCACCAAGAACTAAAAATAATAACTTTAAAGAAACGTGGTGATCTCCCAGATAACACAAGAAAACAATCCAGAAACTTATTAGAGAAATTTAACAGAGATTAAAATAATCTTTAAAAATTAAACAAATCTTGAAACTGAAAAATACATTTGCTGAAGTGAAAAATTCATTAAATCTCAACAACAGAAAGGATCAAGCAGAGCAAAGAATCAGTGAGCTCAAATGCCGACTATTTGAAAATACATGGAAAAGAAAAATAAAAAAAACGTACAAGCAAGAAAGGTCACCTAAAAATATAGAAAATTACCTCAAAATACCAAATCTAAGAATTATTGGTGTTTAAGAAGGAGTTCAGTGAAAGCAAAGAGTAGAAAGCTTATTCAAGGCAATAACAGAAAACTTTCCAAAACTTGAGAAAAAGATAAATATCCAGGTACAGGAAGGTCAGAGAACAAGACACAGTTTTGACTCAGATAAGACTACTCCAAGGTATATGATAATCAGACTCCCAAAGGTCAAGGATAAAGAAAGATTCCTAAAAGCAACAAGTGAAAAGATGCAAATAACATATAAAGAAGGTCCAATTCATCTGGCAGCAGACTTCTCAATGGAAACCGTACATGCCAGGAAGGAATAGAATAACATTTGCAAAGTGCTGAAACAGAAAAAATATTGCCAGCTAACAATATTGTATCCAGCAAAATTACCCTTCAAATATAAAAGACAGAAAAAGTCTTTCCCAGACAAGCAAAAGTGGAGATAATTCACTACTGCAAGACCCATCTTACAGTAAATGCTAAAGGAAATTCTTCAATCTAAAAGAAAAAGACACTAATGTGTTTTAAAAATTGGAAGTTATAAAACCCACTGGTAAAATTAAGTAAAAGGACAAACCCAGAAAACTATAATAATTGTTGTATACAATCCACTCATAAATCTAGTATGAAGTCCAAAAGACAAATCTAGCAAAAACAATAATAGCTAGATCAACTTGTTAAATGATTGATACTGTTCAAAAAAAATACAAATGGCCAATAGGTATATGAAAAAAGCTCAATGGAGACATGCGAATCAAAACTACAATGAAATGTCATATGACCCCAGTTAAAATGACTTCTATCAAAAAGACAAGCAACAATAGATGCTGATGAGGATATGAAGAAAGAGAAACCCTTATACACTGTTGGTGAGAATGTAAATTAGTACAGCCATTATTCAGAATAGTATGAAGTTTCCTCAATTTGAAAAACAGAACTATCGGATGACCCAGCAATTCCACTACTGAGTATTTTTTAAAAAGGAAATGAATATATCAAAAAGACATCTGCATTCCCATTTTTATTGCAGCACTATTCACAATAGACAAAATATGGAATCAACATATGTTCCCATCAACAGATGAGTAAAGAAGTTGTAATATATATTATGCATAATGGAATATGATTCTGCCATTAAAAAAGAATGAAATCCTGTCATTTGTAACAACATGGCTAGAACTGGATGGAGGTCATTAAGTGAAATAAGCCAAGCACAGAAAGATAAATATTGTATGTTCTCATTCATATGTGAAAGCTAAAAAAAAAAAATTGGATCTCAAAGACAAACAGATTTGTGGTTATAAGAGGCCACGAAGGGCATAGAGGAGAAAAGATGAAACAAAGTTGATTAATGGATATAAATACATGGGTTGCTAGAAGAAATAAGACCTACTGTTAGATAGATCAGCAGAGTTACTACAGTTTACAGTAATCTATTGCATAGGGGGTTTCATCATAAAGAAAAGAAAAACATTTATGGCAATGGATGTCCCAAGAACACTGATTTGATCTTTACAAATTACGTGAATGTATTAAATAATTATGTGTGTCCCCAAACTATGTATATGTATTATACATTAATTGTAAAAAAAAAAAATCAGGTGATTATAATTTGAGTTCAGTAGATTATCATGTGCCCCAGAGAAAACTGTAATATCTACATTTCCTACTACTTACATATTATCTTATTAAATAGAGCTCAGTTACTATGTCAGACCTTCATTGAAGCTATAACTTATTACATAGAGTTATAATAATAATGTGGAGAATAAGCTTTGTTGTGCAGACTTTTTAGACTATAGCTTTAACATGAGCTGAAAACAACGATAAAAAGTATTCATTATTTTTCACCAAACACACAAACTATGGACTACTCTTAAATTATTCCATAAAGTAAACATTTTTCACATTTTACTAATAGCTTACACAAAATAAGTTGCTGGCCACATTCTTTCAGATATTTCTAGCCTTACTTTAAATATGTGTAATTATAAAAGAGTTGTGTGGCTCAAAATAAAACAAAAACTTCACAAATTACAAATCAGTGAAAATCCTCATTCTTATTTGATTAAAGATACATTTCATGTTGAAGGAAAAAAGAACACCTACCCTATAACATTTAGGAAGAATAATTTTTATTGTAAAATTTTTTACTTTTTCAACATATTCAAACTTCCAACTCTCCATGAAGTTATATGGGTATTGAGAGACTAACAATATCATAAAATGAATAATCTCCTTAACAATTTATTTTTAAAGCATACAAACTAAACTGCATAACATTTTATTTATTTTGATGATATCTCTCTAGTCTATGTATAATCAGTTTTTAAAAAGAACTGTAAAAGCTAGTGTCCAGTATGTCCAGTATTTTCTCCATTTTCTTTTCTTTAGCAGTTATTGAGTTTTAGCCTACTATGCAGAGACAGACACACAGATAGTACTGTAGTATACTTCACTTAGGTGGTTCTTCCTTTTTAATTTACATTTATTTATTCATTTGACATATTTTTTAGTGCCTACTATTCATGTGTCATACACTGTAATAAGTATGAGGAGTCTTTTAGCTTCTATAAAGTTATGGTTCAATTAATAAACATTTCACATTTCAGCAGAACATTTTTGCATGGGTAGAACCTTTAGCAAATTTCAAAACTTATCACATGGGTAAGTACCAATTCTGCCAGCCTTTTCCATTCACAATTTCAAAATAATCTGTAGCTAATAACCGGGATTCTTTCAACAAATATTTTAGAAACATTTTCTATCTTTTGTTTAGCATTCAATGAACTATGGCCTAGCACCTGTATATAAGCTCCATAAATATAACAAAATAAGACTTAAATGAATTTCAACATCCAAACTAAAGCCATGAGAATTACCAAGTCCTTCAAAGAACTAAAAAGCTTCTCTTCAAAATGATGACACAAATGATTCATCTGAGGTGGATGATACTTGAAGACAGAGGCTTTTATCAACCCTTACATCATCCTGAATATACTCTAAGTGTCACAGAATAAGTAGAACTTTAACTTACAGTAAAGAGCTATAGAACACAGCTTTCATGGAGGTCTGATTTCAAGAGTATTATTTATTAAAACTATTATACCCATTAGACCCTAGCCTTGTATGAATATTTGCCTACATTTACTTCTATACATGTATATTCAATTCTAGAATCAATTGAGACCCATGCATTATTGTACTACCCTAGGATCTCAAATTATCTAATAAAGCCTTTAAAGAATTTAAGCTATGAACCAATGTAACAATCAAAATTGTAAAACACATCTATTGCATATATTCAGCATTCTGACAGTATATTCACAAATTTTAGTTTCGTTTCAACATTCACAAATTTTACAAATTTTAGGTGAATATTGACTGGAATAATGAAAATGTGATTCATAGAATTGGTTTGGAAGCGAACTTCCATTTAATGCTTGAATTCTTCCTATAACAATTCAAACAAATAAATGCTTATAAAATTATAAAGGACATCATATGCAAAAGTGCCTTGAGAACCCAAGGAGGGGTTTATTCAGCAAACTTTTAAAAATCTCTTCTGAAATCAATAAAAGTCCCACTTTATGAGAAGAGTTTTCCTTTAATGACAGCCTGAAACTCATGAGTAATAAGTTAAAAAGAGGGAAAACTACAAAAAAGTTGCTTTGAATCAATAGCCCCCTAGGTCTTTAAGCAGTTCAAGTTCCAGAGAGTTTTTCAATCACACTTAAGAGACTTTAAAGAATCATCTATAGTCTCTTTTAAAGATCTGCATGTATTTTTTAAAACAACAATAACTCAACTGTAAATAAACTTTTAAAATTACCAGAATTTGTCTTCATAATTTACTATAACCTTCATATTTTTAAAAATCCAATCTCTCAATTTCAGATAGAGTGGAAAACTAGTTATTAGTAGTTGTTTTCAAAGTCTGCTTACCTTTGATATAGTATGTGAAATGAAAATGAAGAAAATAACTCTGTTCAATACTAGCTTTTTGTTTTTGCATTTAAATGAACGCAAAATAATGAAAATCGATGTGCTGCTGTCAACATTTATGTACAACACTCACCAGGTTCTTTCAGAAGTTCCGAGGTAGAGGTCTCAGGTCGTAAGTAAAGATGGACAGGAAAGGGATAGAGTAATTCCAACATTCTGTTTCCAAAACATGAAGGTAGATCTTTAAGTGATTTAATAATCCCTATTTTGTAATACAAATCTTCAACACTAAAGTTATAGGACTAAACGCTAATCACAGAAAACCATTTGTCCTTGGTCCTATTGGACAATAGGACTATACCTGTTGTTCCCTCAGTGCATTGCAGAGTAAATATTATTAAACAAAGACAAAGTAATACTAAATTTTGTTGATTCTGAGATGAATAACAAATAGAAACATTTGCTTTCCAAATGAGCCCAAACTAGCAAAAATCAGGAAAATGAACAAGCATCATATCTATCTATTTCCTCAGTGTTTTACAAGAGATTTTTTAAGTAGCATGTTTTTCTAACATGATTTGGAGAGCTTCAATCCCAACAGCTGAATAAAGTCAATTACCACCTAGAAACCTTGGAAAATGTGAATAAGCCAAAAGAAAGAAAATTAAATCTTCTCTAATCTTGTCATCCTGATATTTTAGTAATAATTGCAAAGCCTTCAATGCTTCTTAAAGGCCAGCATTTAAGGCACTATTCTAATCCTTTTTATATGTTTTACCCGATTTATTCCTCAAAACAAGCATGTAGGTATTTACTATTATGATATTCATTGTAAAATCGAAGAAACTAAGACATTTGGGGGTTAAGTAGTATATCATTCAGATTATTCCAGCTAGAAGTGGGTGGGTCAGGATTCAAATGCAGGCAGTAGGACTCCGGAATCCATATTACTATTTCATATTGATTTCATTTGTCATGATTAGCATGTTAAATATATCTCATACCTTTTCTACGTTTAAGTGTACATAAATGCACATGAACTTTTAACCTATTATTTTGTACCTAACATGTCATGGAGATCTTTATAAATGTACAAAGGTACACATTGTTATTTTGGCCCATTACATAGAATTCCATGTTATTTTGGCCCATTACATAAAAATCGATTGTATCGATTTTAACATACTGATGGCTTATTTACCAGTCTTCTTCTGTGGGATATTTACTTTCTTGTTGTTTATACACAAGGATGAAAATCTTTGAACATTCATATTTGTGCACCTGTCCAATTATTTCCTTGTGTTACTATAAATGCCTAGAAATGAGTATGTTGGTTCAAAAAAGTATATAAATCTTAGGTAAATTTCTAGAATTTTAAAACATTTTCCCAGAAAAAAAGTACGGTGTATGAAGGAGGAGACTGTTCAGAGATTTACCTTTGGCATATAGTAGGCACTCAGTAAATAGTAAATAAATAACAATAGGATCTATTAATTTAACTGTCACTCATGTGCTCATGCCCATGGAGTTGGCCAAAAGACTGAGCTATCCCTTAAATTGTATCAAGAGAAAATAGAGAGCCTTGAGTACGGCAATCAGTTGTATAAAATTCCATTTGAAATTCTAGAATGTTTTTATATATCACGAAGAATGGTGCCAAGTTTTATTGATCAGGCATAATTTCCTCTTTTTTCTAATATCTGGTCCATACATTAGTATTATTTAATCTTCAAGTTAGAACTAATTATGTATTTTCAATTATTCCCCATTATTAAAAGATTCTAATGGAAATAGACCACTCAACCACTTAAGCAAAATATTTTACAAATATTAAGATGAAATGGCAGTTGTTTCAACACAAATTGTGAAATGCCATGAGGGATTCCATCATTTTATAATAACCTCATTCTGTTACTAATTAAACTGATCAAAATAACCTAAACATGAATTGTCATGTAACACAGGAAACTCACTGATCACAAAACTAGGTAAAGAAGTCCAGGCTCACTTGCCTGAATTCCAGAATGCATTTAGTGAAAGACAACTGTCATACTTTCAAATGCACCAAATAATATCAACTAAAAATTAGCACTAGTAAATAACTGATTAATAAATGGAAATTTGGATGGGAAATTAAAATTTAGAATAAACCCATATCTATCATCATCATAAAAAGAGTATTAATTTAGGACAATCTTTGAACTTAGAATTCAAAGGTACAATGAAGAACTTTACTTTCTTAAACTTACATTGAAATTGTAGAAGTATTCAATTGTGTTTTCCCTTCATGGGTCAAAAATAGACAAGTTTAGAAAAAGGAAGAAATCATATATTTATAAAATTTGATCATGTTCGTATTTTGCTCAAGGACATTTCTTTTGTTGGGTCAATATTTCAAGTCAACCCAAAAATATTATAGTCATCTTACCAATCAGTATTTTCCAAGGTATCTTCAGGATAATTTTAAGTTGTTTATATACAGCTTTTCTTACAGGGGGTCTATTTAACTTAAAAACCTTTTGGGAGTTTCATGAAGAGTTGGGTCATTCATACTAATTAGTCCTACAGACTGTCCCTGCATTGTTAACAATCTCCTACCTAATTTCCCAACTGATTCTATTATCTTTTCTTCTGCTTATATTCTCACTGCTGTTTCCTTATCTTCATTATGTGGTAAACTAGATTTCAAAAAACAAATTGGTTTAGTGACGTTTTATTTGTCTAGTTAAGCACAGGTTTCAAAAACTCCTTAGTCACTACATCCCAAAACACTTACTTGTCTTTCCCACTACATTTCCATCACACTTTTAACACTAATGAAATGAAGCTAACTGCTAAAGTAAGAAAGAAGTTACCACCATCAACTAGCTATAAATAAAGACAAGGCAGCCCAGGTGTATTGAAGTTCAGGCTTTATATGCCCTGGGCTGTCACTGGAATTACATGCACTTGCTCTTAATTTCAAAGGGTGTTGATCTTTCTCATTAAGCAGGACATGTTTTCATTAAAAATGGGAAATTAGGGTGTCAAGGGACCTTTATCTTCTACCAGTTGCAGAAGAAACAATTCTTTGGGAAATATTCAACTCTCTTGAGAAAGATATTATCCTGAAAGATATTATACCTGATCAGAGGATAATAAGTGCTTCACTTGTCCCTAAAACATTATTATTCCGCTATGGCTTACCAGCCTCATCTAAAGATACTGAAAATGATTTTCAAATGAATTCAGTTAATCTTTTCAGTTAGTAAATGCTGACTTGAAATTCTAAACAATTTGGCTAAATTGTTGTATTAACTACTCTTTTAGGAGCTACCACTCTGCCAGACCAACTTGGATCTTGAGTTAAAATGGGTAACTCAAAGGCAGAAAAGAAATTTATTAAAAGTGGTAAATTTCCAATACAATAATTTATTTTCTTTGAATTATTATATTTCCTTATCTTGGGTATAACCAAATCGTCAGTATTAAGGTTGTGTATATATTTCATTCTTTCTAATTTGAGTACTGTATTGCACTTAAGCCAAGAAAGTGGTTACCCTGAGCATGGATCTTCTAATGTTAAGCAAACAGTTCACAAATGTTGGAAGACCCACAAAGTTCTTCGTAGCCTTGCCAGCATTTCCTCAACTAACTTACGGCTGTGCCAATTACCCCAAATTTCTGACCATATCATAATATTAATGAATTATTGTAAAACAAGCCACTAAAAAGTACATTTTAGCAGAGAAACATTTACTGTCTATAAGTATAAATGTTCTTACAAAATATGTGCTGAAGGGCTTAGAGGTTCTGTCTGTAGCTTCAGGGCCAACTACTGTGTATGTAATTTTAAAGTTATCTTGAAGATGATTATGCTATTTCATGCAATAATTAGGAAAAGGAACTGACCCATCTTCAGACACTTTTGGAAAGCAGAGGCAATGCTCAAAATTCCTGTATTCAAACTATGTTCTGTAAAAACAGCCTCACCTTCTGTAGAAAAAGACTAACCTTTAATTATTAGATTTAGAAAGGAAAATTATAACTTACTCTGCTCCATAATTGCTGCAGATGAGTTATTAAAATTCTAAACTTATGTAATATTATCATAAAATATGGCATTTTTTCTTAGGAAAGCCACAAATTGGATTCATGCTTATGCACTGTAAAACCCAGATGGTTTACTTAACTACTCAAACATCCATCAGTTCAAAAGTCAACTGAACTGAAAACTCAAATTTTGAAAATTGATTCGCTTTGAGGAACTCAAGCAGAACAATAAATTAGCTTCATGTATGGGGTTTTAAGAGATTGACTTGAGAGACCATGACAATTGGTCAGGGAATATTGGCAAATTAGAAGAAAATATACAGTTTCTTTAGGTTAGCTAATTATACATTACCTGGACTCCTCAAAGTGCTGGTGCTTTGCAATCTCCATTTTCTTACTCACTGGTTCAATATTCATCATGATTTTGTCCAATTTAACTTGTCCTGAAATGTTTTTTAAGTTTTACTTGCATAGTATTCATTTTCAAATTATAAATACGTTTTTCAAATTCAATTGCAAATCACAAATTTTTCATAAAAAGAGCTGTAATTTTTTTAAATTCTGCTAACACAGAGATACTAAAAAATACAATTGAGCAGTTTTCTTCACTCCATGCTACTCAGTTGCTTTGCAATTACTAAACTTTAGGACTGAAAAGTACAGTGAAAATGAACTGCATATATCAAAAAGTAGATTCCTTTCAGAGAAATGGCTGTAACAGCATAGCACATATGGATGAATACAAACAACCTCATTTATACATATCAGTATTATTATAATCATTGTCATCACAAAGCTTACTTTTTACAGAAAGGGCTGCTACTTTAAAATAATTTGGAAAATCATTAGTTCCTGTAAATAGGAGCACTGAGTGCTCCAAAAATCTCATTATGATAGAGTAAGACTAAATTCCACAAAAGGCAAAGGTTCTACATTTTAAAAATCTAACTGGAGAGACACAAGATGGCCGAATAGGAACAGCTCTGGAGTGCAATTCCCAGCAAGAACAACACAGAGGGCAAGTGATCACTGCATTACCAAAAGGGTCTTTACTGCCCTCAGACCAGGAGATTCCCAGGCTGAAAAGTACCAAAAGTTTCCAGCATAGCTGTTTCAGCTGGTACCATGGGTATCCACACTAAAACTCACACAAATCTGGGTAGCCATTTCAACTGGCACCTGGAATGCCTGGGAGACAGAGCCGCCCATTCCACTGAAAAAGAAGGGGCTGAAACAGTGAGCCAGGATATCTGGCTAAGTAGGTCCCACCCCTACAAAGATCAGTAATCTGAAATGCTCTAGATTGAGAGTTTTGCAGCATGTGTGGCTAGACCCAGGATGGTCCAGCTTGGTGTGGGGAAGGGTGTCCACCATTACCAAGACAGTCCACCACTACAGAGGCAGTCTGCCATTACTGAGGCAATCTGCCATTATTGAGGCAGACTTCCATTACTGAGGCAGTTCTAACTGTACCTCTGTAAACAAAACCACAAGGAAGTTTACACAGCAACTGGACAGAGCCCATGGCAGCTCAGCAATGCCTCTGACTAGACTACCTCCTTGCTGGGGAGGGCATCTTTGAAAAAAGGCAGCAGCACATCAGGAACTTATAAAGCCCCACCTTCCCAGGACAGAGAACCTGGGGAAAAGACAGTTATGAATTCTGCTGCAGAGACTTAAACATACCTGCACAGCAGCTCTGAATGGAATAACAGAGCTCCTAGCACAGCCCTTGAGCTTCTATAAGGGAGAGACTGTCTCCTCAAGCAGCTCCTGGCCCCCATACATTTAAAGAGACACCTCATAGAAGAGAGCTCAGGCTGACATCTGGCAGATACCCTTCTGGAAAAAAGATAACAGAAGAAGAAACTGGCAGCAACCCTTACTGTTCTACAGCTGCTACAGATGATCACCAGGCACACAGGCTCTGGAGTGGACCTCAAGCCATACTACAGCAGAGGGGCCTGACTGTTAGAAGGAAAACTAAAAAAACAGAAAGAAATAGCTTCAACATCAACAAAAACAAAATCCACTCAGAGACCCCATCCAAAAGTCACGAACTACAAAGACCACAGGTAGATAAATCCACAAAGATGGCAAGAAAACAGTGTATAAAGGATGGAATCACCAAAAACCAGAACACTTCTTCTCCTCCAAGGGATCACAACTCCTAACCAGCAAGGGAACAAAGCTGGATGGACAAGTCTGATGAATTGACAGAAACAGGCTTCAGAAGGTGGGTAATAACAAACTTCTTTGAACTAAAAGAACATGTTCTAACCCAATACAAAGAAACTAAGAACCTTGAAATAAGGTTTGACAAAATGCTAACTAGAATAAACAGCTTAGAGAACAGTATAAATGAACTGATGGAGCTGAAAACTACAACACAAGAACTTCACAGAGCATACAAAAGTTTCAATAGCCAAATTGATCATGAAGAAGAAAGAATATCAGAGATTAAAGATCAACTCAATGAAATAAAATGAGATGGCAAGATTAAAGAAAAAAAGAGTGAAAAGAAATAAACAAAGCCTCCAAGAAATAAGGGATTATGTTAAAAGACCTAATCTATGTTTGATAGGTGTACCTGAATGTCACGAAGAGAATGAATCCAAGCTGGAAAACAATCTTGAGGATATTATCCTGGAGAACTTCCCCAATCTAGCAAAGCAGGACAACATTCAAGTCCAGGAAATACAGAGAACACCACAAAGATATTCCTCAAGAAGAGCAATCACAAGGCACATAATCGTCACATTGACCAGGGTTGAAATGAAGAAAAAAATACTAAGGGCAGCTGGAGAGAAAGGTCAGGTTACCCACAAAGAGAAGCCCATCAGACTCACAGTGGATCTCTTGGCAGAAACCCTACAAGCCAGAAAAGAGTGGGGCAAATATTCAACATCCTTAAAGAAAAGAACTTTCAACCTAGAATTTTATATCCAGCCAACTAAGCTGCATAAGCGAAAAAGAGATAAAATCCTTTACAGACAAGCAATTGCTGAGAGATTCTGTCACCACCAGGACTGCCTTACAAGATCTCCTGAAAGCACTAAACATGCAGAGGAACAACCAGTACCAGCCACTCCAAAAACATACTCAATGGTAAAGACCATCGACACAATAGAGAAACTGCATCAACCAACGGGAAAACAACCAGCTAGCATCGAAATGGCAGGATCAAATTCACACATAACAATATTAACTTTAAATGTAAATGGGCTAAATGCTCCAATCAAAAGATACAGACTCGCAAACTGGATAAAAAGTCAAGACCCATCAGTGTGCTGTATTCAGGAAATCCATCTCACATGCAAGGACACAAGATAAAGGGATGGAAGATTTACCAAAACTTGAGAGCAAAAAAAGCAGGAGTTGTAATCAGAGTCTCTGATAAAATGGAGGTTAAACTAATAAAGATCAAAAGAGACAAAGAAGGACATTACATAATAGTAAAAGGATCAATGCAACAAGAAGAGCTAATGATCCTAAATATATAGTTACCAAATACAGAAGCACCCAATACATAGCAAGTTCTCAGAGACCTGCTAAGAGACTTAGATTCCCACACAATAATGGTAGGAGACTTTAACACTCCACTGTCAATATTAGACAGATCAAGACAAAAATTAACAAGGATATCCAGGACTTGAACTCAGATCTGGACTAAGAAGACCTAAAAGACATCTACAGAACTTTCCACCCCAAATCCACAGAATATACATTTTTCTTAGCACCACATCTCACCTACTCTAAAATTGACCACATAATTGGAAGTAAATCACTCCTCAGCAAATGCAAAAGAACAGAAATCATAACAGTCTCTTAGACAACAGTGCAATAAAATTAGAACTCAGGATTAAGAAACTAACTCAGAATTACACAACTTCATGGAAACTGAACAACTGTCTCCTGAATGTTGACTGGATAAAGGCAGAAATAAAGATGTTCTTCAAAACCAAGCAAAATGAAGACACAATGTACCAGAATCTCTGAGAAACATTTAAAGCAGTCTCCAGAGGGAAATTAAGCAATAAATGCCCACATGAGAAGTGAAGAACAATCTAAAATCAACACCCTATCATCAAAATTGAAAGAGTTAGAAGAGCAAGATGAAAAAAATTCAAAAGCTAGCAGAAGACAAGAACTAAGATCAGAGCACAACTGAAGGAGATAGAAACATAAAAAAAACCTTCAAAAAATCAATAAATCTAGGAGCTGGTTTTTTGAAAAGATCAACAAAATAGACAGACTGCTAATAAGATTAATAAAAAAGACAAGACAGAAGAATCAAATAAATGTAACAAAAAATGATAAAGGGAATACCACCACCAACTCCACAGAAATACAAACTACCATCAGAGATAACTACAAACAACTCTATGAACACAAACAAGTAAACCTGGAAGAAATGTATAAATTCCTGGACACTTGCACCCTCCCAAGCCTAAACCAGGAAGAAGTTAAAAACCCTGAATAGACCAATAACAAAGGCTGAGGTTGAGGCAGCAATTAATAGTCTACCAACCAAAAAAAACCCAGGTACAGATGGTTCACAGCCAAATTCTACCAGATGTACGAAGAATAACTTGTACCACTCCTTCTGAAACTATTCCAAACAATACAGAAAGAGAGAATCCTTCCCAAATCATTTTATGAGACCAATATTATCCTGATACCAAAACACAATAGAGAATCAACTGAAAAATAAAACTTCAGGCCAATATCCATGATGAATATAGATGCAAAATTCTTCAATAAAATAGTGGCAAACCAATTACAATAGCACATCAAAAAGCTTATCCATCATGATCCCAGGGATGGAAGGCTAGTTAAACATACACAAATCATTAAACATAATCCATCACATAAACAGAATCAATGTCAAAAAACACATTATTATCTCAATAGATGCAGAAAATGCCAACAACAAAATTTAACAGCCCTTTATGCTAAAAACTCTAATAAACAAAGTATTGATGGAATGTATCTCAAAATAATAAAAGCTATTTATGACAAACCCACAGCCAATATCATACTGAATGGGCAAAAACTGGAAGCATTCCCTTTCAAATCTGGCACTAGACAAGGATGCCCTCTCTCACCACTCCTATTCAATATAGTATTGGAAGTTCTAGCTAGAGCAATCAGGCAAGAAAAGGAAATACAGGGTATTCAATTAGGAAAGAGGGACATCAAATTATCCCTATTTGCACATGACATGATTGTATAATTAGAAAACCACACTCAGCCCAAAATCACTTTAAACTGATAAACGACTTTAGCAAAGTCTCAGGATACAAAATCAATGTGCAGAAATCACAAGTATTCCTATACGCCAATAACAGACTTAAAGAGAGCCAAATCCAGAGTGAACTACCATTCACAATTGTTACAAAGATAATAAAATACCTAGGAATACAACTAACAAAATAGGCAA